AACATGGGTTCAATAGATTAGTTTCCAGGAGAAACACACAACCAAGAGATGCTTGAGAAGGAGGGATTATAGTAAGAGCAAAGATAACCATTTCTGAACTGGAAGCATGGAAGGGCAACATGTCTGAGCCAAGAAAATATTTTGAGAACATAAAAGCACTGTTTGCAGGAACAATAAAAGTTTCTACATGATCAGAGTGGGACCCATGGTAAAAGCAGGCCAAAGTAGTTTGGCATTGGAGGTAAGATAAGGCATTGAGGCATAAAGCAAAAATCTGTAGGGAGCCAAGAGGAGCTAAGAGGAAGTGCTTCTACAACTCTGACTGAAGGTTGCAAGGTATGAGAGTCGGGATTACTTAGGACAAGCTGGATAAGCACAGTAAGATAAATCATTTCTATCTTAAGTAAGATTAGGGTTAAATTTTGCTTTTAGATTCTTTTGTTTTAAAATATAGTAGTCTGATGCATTAGAGCAGTGGCCCCCAACCTTTTTTGTGCCACGGCCCGGTACCGGCATCACAAAATGATCCGCGGCCCGGTACCGGCATCAGCACGCATGACAAGGCAAGGCGAGCCGAGCGACCGGCCAGCCAGCCGTCCCCCGCTTCTCCCCGCCACCTTCAACTCCTCCTTTGTACCTTTGTCGATGGGCTTCGGGACGGCTTCGGGACGGTCGCTCGACTCGCCTTGCCTTGGGTGCTGAAAGAATCCTCGTGCCTTAGTTTAGTTCGAAGCCGCCCCCCCTTCGATGAAACTAAGGCGCAAGGATTCCTTCAGGACCCAAACGCCGCTTTCCAACCGGAAAAGCTCACCTGGAAGCACTTTATCATCAAAACAAGATGGCGGCGCCCAGCAAACCAGCAGCCCGGTAGAAAATGTTCCACGGACTGGTACCGGTCCGGGGCCCGGTGGTTGGGAACCCCTGCATTAGAAGATCAGGAGAGATATGACAGTGACTGCATATCATATCTGAAGAGCTGCCACAGAAGAGAGATGAATTTATTCTTTATTAATGGTTAAAACTACAGTGAAACAGATTCAGACTATATATCATGAGGGACAAAACTGATTGAATGAGAACCAGTGGAACAAGCTATAAGTGCAATAGTCCATGGCATGGACACCAGATGAGGTGTCTCCTGGAAAATAGGTAGTGACAGCAGAAATGCTCAAATGGATTCTCCCAAAACAGGAGAAAGGATCAGGATGTGAATTACCAAACTATATACAGTACTATTGGACTGAAATTTATGCAGAAGCCATGCTGACTGAGGTTTTAGGAAGAAAATGAAACTGTAAATATGTAATTCTCCCTTCAAGTCTTGCTGTGCTGTCTCATTATGATGGGGAGTGTTCCTGCAATGGAGGCATGAACAATGTAGGGATTATATGCCAAGTCCCAAAAGGATCATCCAAGGTTAAACAAGCAACAGCAGCAGCAGTATAGGAACGTGCTGGCGGTGGATGGTCATTTTAGTGACAATAGCAAATGAATAATTTTATACTATGTGAAAGAAAGAAATGATAAACACACATTTTACTAAGAAAATCATGTGGATAGACAAAATAAAGTAATTGATGATATAGTGCTGGCTTTTTCAGGTTGGATGGCACTTAATATTCTATTGAGGAATTGGGATTTTTTTGGAGTACTAATGGTATTTATGGCTCAGCTAGATTAAAGCTTTCCAGTTATCTAGTTGCTAATGTTGCCACACAGGAACAGAAAATCCAAAACTGCAAAAACAGAGTTACTGTGGGAATATGGACTGTCAGAAACATAAATGTAGGAAAGCTCAGCACAGTGAAAGATAAAATGAATCAACTATTTGGTAAGGTAGCACTCGAGGCTTTGAAAAAGATATTCAAGTGCTGTGAAGAGTCCGTATCTATGAAGACCAGAATCATGTTAGCAATAGTTTCCCCCAGGATAGTCTATGGGAACAAAAGTTAGATTTTGAAAAAGCTGGAGAGTTAGGGAATTCTCACTTCAGGTAAAAATGACACTGAAATTGTAACACATTGGACACATTTTGCAAAAATCTACTACTGGAAGAGCTGAAGGGGCAGGTTTATCTATGCTTATGCTAGCTTATGCTAAGAGCTGATACTGACTTGTGGTAATAAGCAATCACTTATTTAGAGATGACAGTGTGAAACAGAAACATTCACTGTTCTAAGCACATACATTACATACTTACGACCCATCAATGCATTTTGGAATACAATCATTAGATTGCCAGTACTGTAACCTGTATCTATATTCAACAAATATGAGAGAACTACAGAGTTTTCCCATCAAGCATAGCCTTTTAAATTTAAAATGCTGTAATTATCCTTTCCTTTCCTTTCTTTTTTGGATATTTGATTTTGGATAGCAAGCAGTTGATCAGAAAGAAAAAAATCTTTTTGAAATCTTAAGTATATAGTATAGCGTATAAAAAGAAAAGTTAATTCATGTTTCTTACATCTTCTGCATTTGGAATTGTTGCAGAAACTGCCACAAATCTCATGGGAAATACTGAGCTAGGATTGTCAGAACTTTGTGAGAAAGAAGACTGAATAGTTTTCATCCGGCTGACCACAACTTCAAGAGTAGCACCTCGGCTCTCATCTTTTACAACATGTACCTATGGAATTAAATACAACTCTATATAAAACATCTACTGCTTTCCATTATTATATTTTAAGTCATCAATTACTACTTTACCTCATCAATCAGGATAAGTCTCACGAGCTGAACTAAAGAGTTATCTCTCCACTTTCTAGTCATGCTATCCCACTTTTCCTAAAGGATAATAGAAAAAAAATAATATTGTAGTACAATCTAAATCATCTGTTTTATAGGATTCAAATACCGTTGGTATTGTCAATCATTATTACTACACCTAGCAATCCACTTTAGCATTATAAATACTAACAATTATTTCAATATGTTTTTGTTTCAAGCTAGCAGTATATATATATATATGCTGCTAGCTTGAAACAAAATATATACATACATACATACATACATACATACATGGTATTCAGCTTTGTTTGGGTATTTTTCCACATCATTATAGTTGTGCTTTTAAAGTTGTAGCGACACTTCAGCAGAATCTCATCTGCCATCATCAGGCTTCTGTATTGTGTTCGTCTACACAAGCCTGATGATAGCAGATGAGATTCTGCTGAAACGTCACTACAACTTTAAAAGTACAACTATAATGACATGGGAAAATACCTGAACAAAGCTGAATACCATACATATTTGGGTTGGAAATATATAAACTAGGTTGGCCTTTTTGATACTATGCCTTTAAGAGAATGCTAAGCCTGTAAATGGGTGTGGTTTCTCAAACGGCCATAAGATGGAGCCAGAAACCTGGGTTTTTTAGTCTCAGTAAGTCTCTGTTTCTTCTGTTGGAGAGAGCTGCCGTTCCTCCTATTGACTGTTACTGATCGTTGATGTAAGTCTGTTACTGAACTGTTTTTTGATACTGGACTTTGATATTTGGATTATCCCTGAACTGAACACTGACTGCTTTACCTGTGAATGACTTGAACTGCTTATCTTGGACTTTGCTTAAAGGTTTATTGGAAGTAAAAACCTACATTTACTGTACAGTGTATCTGTGTGCTGTTTGTGTGTTATTTTTCACTACTCTCACTACGTCTACATATATATATATATGTACCACAGATCAAATCCAAACAGAATTTCAGAGTAATCTAATGCATTGTACAAAGTAAGGCTGCAACAACTTTTCAGACTGTCTAGCTGATGCTACTCTACGCAGCAGCAAAGAAGCCTCTCATGCATGCCATGTGACCAATTCATAGTGAAACTATAGATAAATCAACTGGAGACTGATCAGACTTTATTTCTAAACATAAAAATATAACTTGAATGGTACTGAATATTTCTAGTTAACAAACCTACATTAACTAATTTTTGAAACTTACTGGCGTAGTCAAAATAATGTGAGCGTGCTGTATTTCAAATAAGTCATCCACTGCCGTATCTCCTGTTAGTTCCTTACAGATGAGTCCAATGGGTCCAAATTTTTCTTTCCAATCATCAAAGCGCTGACTGCAGAGAGCTTTTATTGGAGCCACTAAAAACAATACCAAGTATTGTGAGAGAACAAGACATCCACAAAATAACTTCAGTACAATATTTCCAATACTTTTCCATTCACCCCCCCCCCTCACAATTTCAAATTCCTTTGAATGTCCCAACTCCTTTTAGGGCTATACTCCAATGATTTTTCATATGCTATATGTCGTCTACTTCTTTCACAGAGCCTTAACTATATACTCTTTAAAGTTTTTAACTTTTCTCTAAAGTTTTTTTTTAAAGAGTAACCTTTTTGTTTTAGTTTAGAGATTAATTTTGTAATAAATCAACGTTTAAAGAGAGAAATTCTACATTCTTGGGGAGATTGGCTGTGCTGCCGTTATATCTTATGAATGTCTTTTTTGTTAACTTTGCCATATTTTCACTGTCAGTAGTAAAGGACAATTATTCTGATTACAGGACAGAAAGAAACATATTGAGAAGCACCAGGCAAGACCTTGCAGGTGCTGGATTCCAGTCCCTATTTGTGGTGCCACTAGAAAGTACAAAAAATATTTGCCAAATTTGGAGCTTCTGGATTTATCTTCCTTACTAGTGAAACCAATAAAATAGATGATTTAATAGAAAAAGGCAATGAAGGCAAAGGAAATCCCACTCTCTGAGCAGAACTATTTCTGCCTCTCTGGGCACTGCAGAAAGAGTGCAGCCCAATCATTACATATCACTGCCTGCTTTAAACAAGAGTCACCTTTCTCTGTGCAGGAAGAATTTCCAGTATAAAGTGACAGAAGCAAAGTTTAGACCAGAGGACTAAGCTTTGGAGGAAGATCTTCCTATATCTGCAACCTTACCCACTGAATCATGTCACGAAGGGGCATAGCTACTAACTACTGTCCTAAGAGGACTTCCAAAGCAAGACTTATGAAAGGATAAATCAAAGCCACATTATGCACAACTATAAAACAAAAATCAATCAATCAATCAATCATATTAAAATATATAAACATAGTTTTGTTGCTGCCATAAGGTTACATGCAATAACCAAAACAAGCAAAAACAAAAATGTTTCCTGAGCAGTAATAATAATTTAACAAGTAATGTACTTACTATATACAATTTTAATATTTAACCAAGGTATTGGCACTTTGATTAATAATCTGGTAACTGCAAGCTCAAACATCACAGTTTTTCCAGAACCAGTTGGTGCGCAGATTACAAAATTTCTGTCCGTGTAAAGGAGCTACAAAATAGTAACAAATAGTAAAATATAGCACAGCAACCAACAACATCCAATTTGACTTTTTAAAAACCCCACTTTTTCAAAAACATGAGTGGCAAAGGAACCTAAACCGCAATATGTTATTTTTTTCTTTGCATTTGCCACTGAACAATTGTGAAGAATATATGGTATTTGAAATGATTATGTGGCATGGTCTGAAACAGCATTGCTAACATAAAACCAGTTCTCAAGTCCCAGGAAGAAATAGTGCACATAGGAGAAAAAATTATGTACAATTTATTTATTTATTTAGTACATGACATACATGATCAGCTGGGACTCAAGAGGCAGAGAATAGATGGGGGCGGGGCCAATCAGAGATGGTATTTGCCGGTTCTTCGAACTACTCAAAATTTTCGCTACCAGTTCTTCAGAACTGGTCAGAATCTGCTGAATACCAGCTCTGCCTTCTATGGTATATAGAGAATGCTGGCTGATGCAGTGTAAGGTGCAAATTCTACTCAGGATTGTCCATTGTTGACATGATAGTTCAAAGTCTGGCACCTTTTTTATGCAGTCATTTATATGTCTACCTATGTCTGGGCATTTAGCGACCCATTTGGCTTTCCATTGGGAATCAATGTCGAAATTGTAGATGTGCAAGTGCCAGTGGGGGTTTCCTGGATTTGAGTCTTTCAGCAGATAAATGTCTTTAATTTTTAATCTGTCTTTACAAATATACAATAAAAATTGTTAACCATATACATTCCTATCAATATAGGAGTTTGAAATATGTTATTGTCCTGTATAAATTGCTTAAGACATGATCTTATAATGTTTATCAAACAGTAAATCCCATTAAATCTAAAACTTCTTTCGATTGTAGCTTTGGGCAATTATGACATCTAAAGAGATTTTGGAAAATATATCTTATAAATTTGCTCATTGTACTCTAAAAATATTTATTCCTTTGCGGTTGTAGCATGGGTCACAGCAAGAAAAAGAGGTCTGTTGAGATTTTAGCATGCTGCTATAAATACTAGTGGAGACATATTTTGATAGAAGACAACAATGTGCAAATTTCTGGAGCATAATATAAGGTGATGCTGCATTTCTACCCTAACTTCCTTGTCTTGAAGAAGGTGCTTAAGATCCTACTATCCTGCAGGGCATTTGGGTACTAAGGATGAAGGGTACTTCTGGGTATTTATTTATTTTGTTTTAGTTTTTGTTATGATTACTTCCCGAGAATGTAAGAATAGTTTAATATCAGTATAAAGCTCAAACTTACATCATCCAAAGCCTTAGACTGAATAAAATTAAAATAAGGGAACTCTTTGAAAATATTTCTAAATTGAGTGGCTTAAAACTTGTATTAAGGAAACATTTTAGTGAAATATGGGTACAAGTTTATCTAAACATAAGAATAAAACCTTCAAATTTTCCACATTTGTTGCACTTCATAAAATAGGTCTTAAAACAAAAGAGAAAATGCAAGACAAGACTAAAAGAAGAAAGAAAACAGATGTCTTGGGGAAAATCTGTAGTAAATATTTATAAAATTACTGATTAAGTTACCAAATGTAAATGTTATTCATTTATATGGGTAAACTAATCCAGTGACCCTGCCATGCTAGTGGACCACATATAATAGCACTGTACCTCAATCTATGAATAACATAGAGATATTTATTATTAATCTTGTGGATTATGACCCTTGGTATAATGATGAGTTTGCTCAATTAGCTTTCCTGATATTATGCAGCCATATACAGGAATCCTTTAGCCACATGATGAATTTTTGGATTTTAAAAAATGCTAATATTTACATCCAAGAAATGTTACATAGTTATAGCAATAAGTTATAAAAGGATACGGATTTCAGTCACAGGCCTCAAAACCACAGAGTCATTTTTAGATATTACTAGTAACAAAACAAAACAAAGGTTGGATTTAATTTTCTTTCTTTCTTATTCACATACACATTATACTTGATTTTAGCCAATATTTATTTAAACAGCACAAATAAAAACATAATAGCTTAGATTCTGACCTAGTTGTACTTGGTTGTGCAATCAATCAACTGGGAGAGGGTAGACTAAATATTGATAATCTGTATAAATCTTGATATGTTTACAGCATGAAAAATGCAAATAATAGCTATCTTTTCTATTACAGCTTGCTATGTTAACAGACATGCTGAGGTCAGGCTGTAATCCCATTGGCAATGGTATAACATTGATGTTGGTTGATGTGGTGGTTGAAGTTAGCCCCACCAGTGAAGTAAGTGGTAGAGGAAGCCAATGCTGGGAATAGCAACAAAGTGCTGAAGGAGAAAGTTACTTGTCAGCTGTTTCCTGATATGATAAACAAGTATGTCCTTTACGGTTTTGGAGAAACTTTTAATATCCAATCCAGTTAGCTTTTGTACATGAACTGGAAAGGACTATCAAATGAAAACAAAGTAGCTTGGACCAATTTTGCTTGTTTTCTAAAATTTTCAAACAGGTTATCTGATGAGATAAGTGTTTTGTATTTATTTGAAATCTGCAAATTATGATCCATGCTTTATTCAGTACGACAAACATATTCACAAAATGTAGTTTACAAGAAGGTAACACTTATAAAAAGCTTCTTTGAAGGCATAAATACAATATGTATTTATTGTACTTAAATAATTTCTAACCCTAACTTAAACTTTATAGTTGTTTCTGGGTGCTTCTATGATGGGTGCTTCCAAACAAAGCTTTTCTGATATAATCAAACCTTCATAATTTACAGGATTTTATAAGTAATCACCTGTGGTTTCACACTATTCCTTCCATACTTCCTTGTTATCAAGTAAACTTCTAAGACAAGACATATCTTTGAATTGGTAGCACTGTCTGTACCCCAAATCCCCACACAGTTGGAGGTTTTTTTTAAATGTCATACAAGTAGCCTTGGGTAAATGACAGCAACTGATACTGAAATCACATGAGAGCACAAGTTCTGGCACTTCAGATTGCTATCATTAAGTGAATCCTGTGCTATTACTAAGCATGTCAGGTGATTGCCATTTGCAACCTCCTGTCGGTTTTCCAATTGACTTTGCTTGCCATAAAGGTCAAAATGGTGATCACATGATTATAGGATGCTGCAATGTAATAACTGTGCATCAGTCCTACTGTAAATATCACTCATTCAACATTGTAAGCTTGAATGTTGTTGTATGAGTGGTTATTAAACAAGGACTACTTGTACTTTAATATTTCTTCATTGCTATATAACTAGATTAAACTATAGGAATGGAAGAAAAAGAGAAAAGAAGATGTGAATGTACAAATAATCATCATCATTTTCTCTATTTGGTCTTAAAATTGAGGAATATTTAATTCTATGTGACTGGCATTTTCTTGTACCCTAATACAACTACTTCACTGTTATCTAACTTATGTATACTTTTTTGTGGTTCGTTTTTTTCTAATTTATGTTTATCTAATGTATGCAATTTATCCAATTTACCTCCTACATAATTAATGTAGCCCTAACCCTAACTTTTGTTCTACATAATTATAATAGATTAACCTGTATTTCTGAATCTGATTCTGTTCATGAACATACATTATTCATAGTTGTTTCATGAGAGCTGTAATTTAAGTACCTTTTGCTGGTAAAAGTGTAGAAAAAATATAATTTACCTTCCATACTAGAGATCTCTGAAATACATGGAAATGATGACGCCTTTTTAATTTCTTTTGTATTTGCAGAAGCAGAAAAAGTATTATTTATAGAAAGACAATTAAAATCTGAATTTTGGGCTATCTGGATATTATTTTTCCATAAGTCTTTTTTCATCTCTTTGTTGTTAATAATATTGCAATATGTATCCATTTCTATCCTTGCACTGGCATTATTTGCATATGTATAAGAAGATGGTTTAAATAAGCTGTAAGGAATGCAAAGGATTTTTTTATAATATACATAAACATACATACCTTTTTATATGACAATTATATATTTTTGCTCTGTTGCATTGTTTCTAATAATTAATCTTAAAACCTTATAAACAACTTATATTACTTTGATTATTCAGCTGACTGGTCCATTACCAGTACAAGTAAGTATATGCTCTCGTTGAGAGGTATTACTCAGATCACCTCTCATATATCTGCTTTTTCAGCTCACCATAACATCCATTTCTATCGAGCTTCTAAAAAATTATATAACTTGTATATTGCAAGAAGTAGTAATTTAAGGTTTTCGAGGAACTGAAGAAAACAGAAGGTAACAAAATATTTAATTCTAATTTACTCCTTTCTTGTTTTCATTTTATTTCATTGTTTATATCTGGATACTTAATGAAGGAAAAACTCAATGGTTGCTATACATTAAAAATATGCATTCCTCTTTGAACTGAGAATCAGGATTTATCAAGTTCACATTAAAATGAACTCTACCTAGCTTAAGGTTACTTAGACTTTCAAAGAAATTCCTGAAAAAGGATGATCTAGTGAATTGTAACAAATCACCAAAGACTACTTTCTAATGCCAGAGTAATGGGATGTTACATTCCTATTCATGTAGTAATTTTTTTATGACTAACCTATGAAGATTGGACTACAAAATCTATATTCTGTAAGATGCCATGGGATATGTCTTTGTGAGCAAACTGAAGGGTGATGGCAAATCAGTTGTTCCAAAGATGAAACGTTTCACTTCTCATCCAAGAAGCTTCTTCAGCTCTAATTGATTGGTGGGGAATGGAAGGATTTGTACACTTTGCAGTCATCTGGTTGTTAGCACTTTGAGAGTCAGTGCTTAGCTTTCTGAGCGTCATAGAGGTCACTTGGGGATTTAGCTGTAAGAGGTCACTCTCAGAGTTATCTGAATCAGAGTGCAAATGGGTGTGAAACTTTCTTTGGATGTTGAAAGTCCAATTACCTTTTAGAAAAAGCATATTTGGGACAACCATGACCTGGATGATTGAGAATCTCCATAGACATTTGGCAAATCAGCTGTTTTTTAACTAATTAATAAACTAAACTGTGTGTTTAAGCCCTTATAAAAGGTGTTTTGCCTAAGGCAAATCCAATTACTGACTAAAACATTGTTCCCAGATATTTTACATTCAGAAGAATAGTAGTATGGTTCTGATAATTATAGAATAGAATCATACCTTTTCCTGAATGTTGAGTAACCACTTTCATCACCATCTTCTTCTGGAAAATAAATTAATATTTACTTTCCAAAGGACTCTATAAGGCAAGTTCTGCTTATGTTCTAATCAAGACATGGAGAATAATGGATCCAATTCCAAGCTGTTGCCCCTGAAACGTTCTTGCCCCAATTTTAGGCTTTATTTACTATAATTCTCTTTGTAAACAGTCTTCTAAAAATACACAATATCATGCTTGTCATTAATCTGTCAGTTCAATAATGATTATATTGTATTCATTTTTTTTAAAAAAATTACATGGATAACACATTTTTATATCTTATGTGCGTCTGTCATGGATAATAGTCTTGCAAAATATATACAATATAGCAAATTATAAACTCAAACTTGATTTCACTTTGAAATATAAATTCAGAACATCACAGTAAAATTAAGAAAATCTAAAAGAATGGGATTCCTCCTCTTTTTGTAGACTGACATTTCAGAAGTAATTCATACATTGAAGTACATGTGAACCTTCTGTTCAAAATAAACTATTTTGAGCTGATTTCCACCGAAAAGCACGTATCATCGCATGATTTAAAAATATTTATTTTATTCAATTAAATTTATAAATTGCCACAAGAATGATAATAATAGGCTTGCATGTGACCAGAAGTTACCTAATGAAGGGCCAGGCAGGTTATGCTTAGTCAGCAGCAGGAGCAAGTACAGGATGAAAGTGGCTGGGGCAGCAAAGTGGAGGGTGACTGGCAGGGGCCTCACGAGGGCAGGATGCTGATGGCAAATGGGATTGGGACTGGGCTAAGGCAGTAGGGCTTTGTGTTGCATTGTTGGGCCAGGCTAGGGAAATTGCAGCTTTTGGAGATGACTATGGATTCACATTGCACTGCCAAGCTGGGGCAACTACAGCTTTGCTCTGTACTGCTGGGTCAGGTGTGAGGCGACTTCATGCGGCACTCTGGGCTGGGGCTTTCTGGAACAGTTACAGTTTTGTGCTGCAGCTCAGAGGCTGTTTTGTCTCTGGAAAAGTATCACCATTGATGCCAATAGCAGGTTTTCTCCTGGAATAAGTAGCAAATAGGATTATTAAATGAAGTTACAGAAGCATCATTGTGTATTATCTATATTTACCCTGATTTAATTTCCTGTGGTTATCAGGACAAGTTCTCTAAAACAAAAATACTAAATTTTATTTTCTATTTTAACATTTATGAGTTGTCATATTAATACTAATCACAGATTCTACCTTTTTGGTTAGTTTTTGCAAAATCCATTTGTAGCTCCTGAGTGGGTGGAATTTCAAAAACAGATGGAACAGGTGCAAGGTCCCAGTTTGTTGGCTCTTCATTTTCTAGATACCTTTCAAAATACACATACACAAAAAAAAACCTTTAAGATGTTCCATCCAAATTGCTGAGAAACCACCAAACATATTGACTTCTAAATTTGCTCTTTTAATATTACACTTGACTAAAGGTTTCTGTTAGCCCACTTCAGTTAAATATGAATTTGCTATGTGGTGGCCAATTGTGACCAACCATAATGCCAAGCCCACAGGTTTTCTACTTGTACAACTAAAAACAATTTAGATGCAGAACGAATTTGTAAGATAATTGAAACTCCAAAAAGTACCCAATATAAAATAGAATAAATTATTTATTGTGGAATTAATGTTCAAAACTGTATCAGTATAGTCTATAGCCGTGATGGCGAACCTATGCCACGTGTGCTGGAAGTGGCATGCAGAGCCATCTCTCCAGGCATGCCAGCCATTGTCCATTGCTCTTCTGGGTTCCAGTGCGCTCATGCATACCGGCCAGCTGGTCTTCACGCATGTGGGAGTGCCAGAAACCAGAAGAGCAGCACCCCTGGCGCACATGCATGCGCTGGCCAGCTGGTATTCATATGCGTTGGAGTGTTGAAAACCAAAAGAGCAGCTCCTGGAGCGTATGCGCCCACTGGCCAGCTGGTCTTTGTATACTCATGCGTGTTAGAAACCAGAACACCAGGTGGCCGGTGCACATGTGCACATTGGGAAGCTAAGCTTACAGTTTCCAGCATCCCACGCACATGCATTGAGGAGTGCTCTTCCGGTTTCCAACACGCACAGGCATACACACACACTCCCGCTTCAGCACTCGGTGTCGAAAAGGTTAGCCACCACTGGCTTATAGAATGTAAAGAATGAAAGTAATAGGTATCAATTATTTCTAAAAGAACCATTTTAAGCAGAAATGTTCAATTAATGTAATGGAGATTAGTATTTCATTGTACAGAAAGCATACATGATGGCTCTGTATTCAGCCAATACTGCATTACCCAGATGCCAATATTGACACCATATTTTAAATTATCAGTATTTTTCATCAATCACTGAGCCAACTTACATTTGCTTTGTGCCTGGTCCTTCAAAAAACAAGTTATCTAAAGAAAAGGCAGGTTCTGTCATGGCTGAAATCTGATTTTTCAGTTAGCTGTAAAAACATGCAATAAATATTTATGTATTTCATATTAGTTCATATTAAGTCTTCCCCCATCTTTTTATTCTCATAGCCACTTTGTGAGGAAGTTTAGGCTAGTGGGTGATAATAAAGAGTTTCATTGCTGAGAGTATTTTAATCTGGGTATGTTTTAATTTAAAATACTCTGTACCATATAGACATACTCACTAAAAATATACATGTTATAATCTATTATTAAAACAAGTATTATTTAAAATAGTTACTCTAATATTTTAACTAAGCACAGTTAAATCAGGATTCATTTCCTTTTTAGAAAAACTGGGAGGCCTTTGGATAAATTTAAGGAGGCAATGCTTGTTCTTGATCACTTTAATTCCAAATAAAACAGTCCCAATTTCCAGGAATGAACACAAATATATGTGTCCCAGGATAATATTGCAGGATCTAATCTGGGTTGATCACTGGGACCAGAGAGATTTAGTCTTCCAAGCTTTTAGACTCACACTATAGCCCTTCTTCAGGGAACCTGTCTCTACCAAAATGTGTAGACAATTTTGTCCAGTAATACTGTCTCAGACAGTTGATTTGATGAGCTACGTAATTTTGAAGAATACAGTTCCCTCTCACCCATTTGGAAAGAGATAAATTTAATGCCATCTCAAGTTGTTTTCAGATTCTCTACTGGCATTTAAACCAAATGAAGCAGCCATTTAAGTATTTACACATAGATAAAGTAATAGTATGTAAAATCAGTAGTTCTCAATTTTTCTGTTTTGGAAAGGAAAGGAACACATTCATGATAAAGGAAGCTTTGCAGAGGAATTCTGGGAAATGTAGTTTTTTCAGGCCTCTTATTTCAAGTACCTCTAATGTGTCACTGAATAAATAAGACACACAGATAATTAAAAACTGAATTGCAGCATATGGAAAACATTTTCAAAAATCTTATAACTGCTCCATTTTAGCCTTCCATTTTGTGACATGTAACCCCACTCCTAATGCACTCTTGTTAACAGTGAGTTCCCCCCACCTCCATTTTGGTGGAATATAATATTTGGATAGAAGTATTTAGATAAATATTACACATCAAATGTTTAGGTCTGAAACTGGTTCAGAGCTGAACGTAATTATTAATACAATAACCTGATCTCTAACCAGGAATCTATTTGCAGCCAGTTTAATTGCTATAAATCAGATGTCTCATAGTTATTTCTTTATTAAATTTCTATGCTGCCCATGTCACTATTGAAGGGGCTCTAAGTGGCTTTAAATGTAATATTCTGGGAGCAGTTTAGGAATAACATTCTGGTCTTCCAACTCCAGTTTTCAAAATGTCCTTCAGAGCAGTTCTACACGAAGAGAATTGTGATAGTCTAAATCAGTGTTTCTCAACCTTGGCAACTCTAAGACATGTGGATTTCAGCTCCCAAAATTCCCCAGCTACTCTGGATAGAAAGTTATCATCACATGAAGAATGATAATCCCCTAAATTTTAGATTATACTATACTTCATACATGGCAGTGAGACATTACACTGACTCCATGAGCTATTTTCATGGTGTGAAACTTTCCAGTTACTCAGGGAACAACCCAATCTCCTTAGAAGAACCATTTACATTGGAAAACATGAAACCAGATTCTAGCTTGATGCCTGATTTCCCAATATTGCTAACTTTCAGAATTTTCAGCAAGGACTATCTTGGCTGGAGAATTCAGGGAGTTGAAATCCTCACTTTCTAGAGGTGGCTCATGTTGGGAAATACTAACATACCCCAGTGTCATGCTTATTTACTTTCTAGCTTCATGTATTCATGGTGGTAGATGCCAACAGGCAAAGCAAGCTACAGTGTGATATATTATCAAGGGTAGAATTAATAGTTAACATGGCCTGTTTTATTTCAGGCATGGAAGGAGGGAGGGAGGAGCTGATTAGGAAGATACCCCAAAAATGTAACCACTAAAATCTAAACAGAAAATATTAGAGACCTCAAAGTAGCTGAAGAAAAACCAAACAAGCAAGCTTAATGTACCTCAGTGTGAGGGAAAATAACTGAGAAAAACAATTATCTGAGGAAAAAAATCTTTAAAATTTTCGCTCAGAGAGCCAACTCTCCTTCCTAAATTCCTAAATGTAGGGCTGAAGATGGTTAGATTTAAAGATAGGGAGCATGTTGTTGATTCAATCACAACTGCAGCTCTACAGTCTGGCAATTTTAACTGGGTGTGAGGAAAAAGTAGCAGAAATGATACTAAATTTCTCCCATGATTTTAACCTGTCATAATCCACTCTGCTTTTTTGCATTGGATGGCTTAAAATAAATGAAAACAAAGAAATAAAACGTATTTATTTCGTTTAATTTTTTGGTTTTAGGGTTAAATCATTAAAATCATTTGCTAAATTTAAAATGGGAATTTTTGTATATATTTAATTTAGTGTTTTAGGAAAAACAGTAATGATTTCTTAAAATTGCTATTCTAATAATGGTTCTATATATTAATAGAAATTAACAGTGAAGCAATTAATGTTTAATCATGTATAATTCTGAGCTGAGATTCATCCGGTAGAATCTGAGGCAACTAATTCAGAGTTATTTCACCCTATAAAAAGCAAACTACCTTCACAGAAAAAAAAATTGTATAAACTGGCTCATATGTATTCTGAGCTTTGGCTAGTGCTCCAACTGTGATTTTAAAAATGTCTTTCTTGCCACAAAATGATCAAAATATTTATATGAATAACACTGTCCATCAGAGTAAAGTTGTTGACACTATTCATAGTAGGGGGCTCATTGGTATTTGAAATCTCTTCAGATATATTTGATATTAATATCTGAATCACTTTTAGTAAACCTCTAAAATATTAACCATTAGTAACAATTATACAAAACCAAAACAGCCATATTTAACCTAAGAAATGCAGTGAACGCAACCCAATTTAAGCATTCATAATAGAAATGGCTTGTATTTGTTAAACTGATAAAGTAAAAAGTGAAAGCTGAAATTTTATTTTTTATTTTACTGCCCTGAAAAAAGTTGGAAGTCCATGCCTTTTTTTTTCTTTCCACCTTTACCGTATACTTCTTTTTCCGTTTCACATTCCCCTCTCCTCTTTATTTTCATTTGTATTTTATATTATGATAATCCTAATAAAAAATTTAAAAACAACCTAATTTAAGCAGTCTAAAATTCCAGTACTGATTTCAGCCACAGAGTTTCTGCTGAAGTCACTTGAATTTTAAACTGTTAAACTTCCTGGATTTAATCCATCACAGTTTTCAAAAGCAGACCCACTTTTTTAATGATTAAAAAGTATGCTCTCCAATCCTTTTGGCTTCAGGCAAGTTTCCATCTTAATTTGTAACATCTGCTTTTAGCTGACCAGACTTTAAAGCAACTATATAAACAGTTCATTTTTCAGAGCATTTTTTTTCCTCAGAGTTTTTCCCCCAAGATGACATCTCCCTCTACACCCGTACAATACACACATCACATAAAATATATAGCAAAGGAGACTCTTAACAGCTCTGAGACAGTTTAATTTTTGATTTCCCCCAAGCTTAACATCTGATCATCCATATGTTTTGAGTCTTTTTCCCTCACAGAGATCACATAACAAGTTATAAACCTGTGTATTCTGGAACAATATGAACAGACAAATCACCACCACCAGAAAGTCAAACCCGTTTTAAGAACAGTATAAAACTTATCTCATCTATGAAGAAATGTGAATAAAAGACAAACACATTCTAAAGGACTTTGTCGCCGAGAAAAACAAATAAAAATATTTTTCTAAGTTTTCGCGGGTACTTACATGTATGGTATTCAAATATCTGAACAAAGCTGAATACCATATATATATATATAAAAACGGCTGTGAAAGTCTGACTCACAGACAAACACAATACAGAAGCCTGATGATGGCAGATGAGATTCTGCCGAAACATTGCTACAACTTTAAAAGCACAACTATCATGATGAGGGAAAATACCTGAACAAAGCTGAATAATACACACACACACACACACACACACACACACACAGTGTAAAAAAATGTTCTGCCTCCTTATGTGGAGAATAATCTTTTAGAATCAGATCTTTCTAAAAACCTGGCAAGTTCTGTCTAAACATTATTTTAAGTTTTCAGAATAATGCCTATTAATCACAAATGAAACATTGCTACTATGACTTTTGACTGTCCTTGGTTGTTGTTTTCAATGCTTAGATCTAAGCGATTGTTTTTTATCTCTCGATCCCTTTTAAATGAAAAATACCCCCAAGCCCCCATAACTATTCAAAATATTCCTGTTCAATGCATTTTTAATGGTCTTACAATAAACCACCATAAGCAAGGCAGTTTGCTTGGATGCGATATTGTGATAGGAGTGATTTGACAATGTTTACTGACCTCAATACCCATCCATTTGACTCATTGTGTCCCGCAAACACTTACAGACTTGAGTAAGATTGCTCATGCAAAAAAAGACTCCCTTCAAGTTAGCCGAGTGTATAAGTGTTTGCCAAATTGGGCCCTAAGAGAACTAAACACGGCTCCCACTAGACCTCACCAATACTGTCGGTATGTTCGCCAGAGGGAATCTCCCAGGACTGAAGTGACAACCTTTTCCTCTCCGGGGATTGAACATTTTATGCAGGGCTGCCTCACTTCTGCTGGTTCAGAAAACTCAACCTAAAGCTTGTCATTTTCAGTTAAACTCTATTCCTGTTTAGGAAATGCCTACACACTCACACACGCCCAAAGTCCTCGACTTACAACCACAATTGAGACCAGAATTTCCACTGCTAAGTTAAATGAGTCACGCCCAATCTTATGATGTCCTTTTATCATGGTTGTTAAGCAAATTATTGCAATTGTTAAGTGAATCACGTGGTCATTATGCAATTAAGCTTCCTCTATTAGTTTTGCTTGTTGGAAGCTGGTTGGAAAGGTCACAAATGGCAATCACATGACCCGGGAACGTTGCAACCA